ATTTCATATTTATTTCATCTGCACAAACATAGTCTACATACATCTCTTTCTACAATCATCTCTCTCAGTATATGTATACATATACGTATTATGTATATGAATATAGTTATATTTTATGCTTTGAATTATTATATTGGAACACATCAAAAACATTTTGAATTGAAAAACACTTCGAGAAAGAAAATTATTGAAAAAAAATAAACGAGTACTACTTATTATTTAACTTACACTCAATATTAAATAATATTGTTTAATATCAATTCAAAATGCAGAATAATTAAACACAATTCAACAAACATATTGGAATTAAATTATTCTAAATTATTTGTTTTGTATAATTTACGCGAGATTCTTTATTATATAATTGGTTGACCCGATATATTAAATTTTACTACATATTTTATATGTACGCATATAACATATGCACATATATACAATACATACAATAAAATTTTATTCAATTCTTTATTAAATTTATTTACACATACATATACATATACATACATCATATGTTATGTATAAACACTATAAATTTTACCAAAACATAAATAAAGAAATCAAATATAAACCCATATGTTTTAAAGAAACTCGTATATACTAGTATATATATATATATATATATATATATATATATATATATATAAATAGTCGAACACATACATTAATACATACATAAGTTAATACATAAGGAATTTTTAATGAAATAAAATTAGAAAATAAGGACTGCACCCTCATTTTTATGCAAAAAGAAAAAACAAACACCAAAAAAAAAAAAAAAAACAAATAAATTAAAAATGCATTCAACATATTGTTAAATTGCTTTTGTTTGCAATTAAATTTCAAAAATATTTTAAAAATTTTCTTTCATTTAACGCAGCAGAAAATCATTGAATCGAAAACTAAGTTAAAGAGGAAAAAATAAGAAATAGGGTGCAAATTGTTTTGGCAACTATTCCATTTTATCATTTGTTACTTCATCTCACTGGCTCTTCTTGGCACTATTATGTGTTGTTTTTTTTTTATTTTTTATTTAATTCTAAAAATATTTAATAAAATAAAAAATTAAAACAAAAATTTCAAGTGAGAAAAAAAGGAAACAAAACTATTATATAGACATTACATATAAAAGTTTTATTTATTATAATTTAAACACGTGAAATTTCTAAAATAAAAATATAAAAAACAATATTTTTCTCCCCTATCGATCTGTCTCGCTCTTTCTCTGACTATTTATTTTATATTTAAAAAAAACAACAGAAAGTTTACATTTGGCTTATTATAAAAAAAAAAAATTAAATTGAAAAACAAAAAGAAAAATATTGTTTTGTGTTTTTGTTGGTTTTTTTTTTTCTGTTCATTCTAATTTATTATTATTGTATAATATTATTTCTTTTTATATAATACTCAATTATACTAACATATATTTGATTTGCATATATACACATATAAACCTGTATACATTAATGTAATAAACCGTTATAAGTGTATATGGGTACACATATGCATATGTACGTATGTATAGGTATATATATGACAATCAACGTTATATTTTAATAATAAAACCGCTTTGAACGTTTTTCTCAATAAACTGTGTATATTTTTCAGCTGTCTAGTTGAAATTATTATTGTTGATTTGATTTTGAATGATCATCACCATTAAATATTTGCAGCAACAACAAAATAAATACGTACAAAAAAAAAAAAAAAAAAAAATGGCGTGATGTGATTACATTTTTATGTTATTAAATAAAAATTCTGTTTTAAGTTTGTACTTATATTTAAGTATAAACATAAGTTTGTCAGTTTAAAAAACAGAAACGAATTAGAATAGAAAATATGTATTATTTATCTACGCAAAATGTATGCAGCCTAATTATTCAATTAAAGATATAGTAAAATATTAAATATGAATTATTTTATAGTATTTAAAACGCACATGCACTTGTAATTAAATATGCAGCAAACCTTAGATTGATTACGCATTTATAGTTGCGCATTCATAAATAGAATATGCATATTACTTACCTATATGTCTTTATTTTCAATATATTAATAATAAAGGTTAAGGTTACTATTATAAGGTGTTTATTATTCAAATGAATTTGCAATCAATAATAAGCAAGTTTTAACAAAGTATAAAGCGCATTTTTTTGTAATTTTACTTTGCATGACTATTTTTAGCCATATGTGCATATACTTATATATATGCTACAAGCCTTAACTTGCATTGATAAGTTGATTGAAATTCTTTCTCCTAAATCAAATAGTATTTATGTTTTTTTTTTTTAAATAAGTCATTGTAAATTACACCGACTAAATTTCAAATAAAGCAGTTTATTGAAAGGGATTATGTATGCAAACAAAAAATACTTCATTCGTAAAATTTGAAATTTTAAAAAAAATTTTGCATAAAGTAAGGCGTTTGAAATTTTATTTTTAGGTATTTAAGTTCGTAAGATCAAAAATTCATTTGTATTTTATTTGTTTAGTAATTTACTAGGAAAATCAATAGCTACAACTGTTTGAGTTATAGTTACTTTACTAATATTTAAAAAATATCCTAAGTAAAATATATAAGTAATTACGCGAGGATGTGTTCTATTCATTTGTGCAATATTTCCTTAAAAGTACAGCCATTTAAGTTTTGGAAACTATCTCTTCCTTCAATATATATTTTACATACGCAAGTACTTTTAATTGATTTAATGTTATCAAAATAATAATTACTTAAATGAGTCAAATAAACTCGAACTACTTGAATCATTGGAAACTGACTTGTGATCTTTATAAATTGAATATGGTAGAACAATAACGTATACGAGTATATCATAGAAGAGTTCAATTATAATCGAAAAAAGTTTTGCAATTTTACATTTTTATGTATAAATTCAGTAAAATCGTAAATTAATTACAATAGTTTTTTTGATTTAAAACGTCAAAAATGTCGTAATTAAAACAATAATTTTAAAAATATCATTTTTTCATTTTTATTTTTTGCTTTTAATAAGCAAAAATAATCTTTTTAAAATTAAATAGAGAAAAACATCTAAAAAATTGCAAAAGAAAAACAATTTTTTTTCTTCAATTTCTATCAATTAAACTATGAAATATAAAAAAAATTGTAACATCAATTAAAGATAATAAAAACCGCGTGAAGTAATAAAATCATAAATAAGAAAATCGACATCAGTTAAGAAATAACAACAAAATATTGACATTTTCATAATATTTTTGATTTTATATCATCCCTCTGCCGACAATATTATATACAATAATATAAGTAATCAGTTTCGTAAATAAATAAATGAAGATAATTTTAAGAATGTGTGTATAGATGAATTTTTAAATATAACGTAAATAATATTGAATACTTACTAAAAAATCTTATATTCTTAACAACAAAATCATAACAAATGATTATAAAAATATTATACGTAATATAAATAAATATGTAGCAGATTAATTTAATACGTCATTTCTTAATACATAAAAATGAACATAAAATTCTAACGTTTTAACTGATAACTTTTTTGGCCGCTGAGAACCTATATATATTAAAATATACGAGTATAATGTAACTATATAGTAATTTTTATAAATTTTCGTCTTAGTGAGCATATTTATTAACAAAAATTTATAACATGTTGAGTTCTAAAAAGATCGCGTGGTCAGAAATCGTAAAACTGTTTTGAATTTAGTATATTTATGTATAAACAAATTAAATGAATAATAATTTTACGATTTCTGATTACAAGGTGCATTTATATTAAAGTTAGCTTGTGAATAAAGTTATGAGCTAAACAATGTGTTGTATTTATGAATATATTTTCCTATTTAAAGATTTCACTTGAAAGTGAATAGTAATTTTTAATTATGTTTGTGAAATTCGTGAGTTTACTGTACGAACACGATTACTTGCTCAACAGATAAATTTTTCAATTGTTATTAGAAAAATGACAAAAAAAACACATTTGTTTGATGCTATTATAAAACTTAAAGTGTATAATTACATACTTTCGGCTTTACCAAAAGAGCTATAGTTATTTCTATAAACACATCCAATTATTTGTATAACACAAATAAAACAGTTGTTTCAGTTAGTTTGATTGTTCAGTAAACCGTTTTTTTTAATTTATTTCTATTTTTATTTAAAAAAAAATTTAGAAGATAATTATCGCGATCCTAACAATAATTTTCTTTATTTTCAATCATTTATTAATTTTCTTGAGAAATAATGACGTGATGAATGCAAATATTTATTCAAACTTAATCTTAAAATATATTAAGTGGGATATAATTTTAAACATATGCATAATATGTATCCACCTAAGTACTCGTACATCCATAATCATAAATTTACTTTTATATACTTATATGTATGTACATATTTTTAAAATTCCAAACAGCAAAAGTATACTCGTATTTTATAATTTTATAGCACATTAATCGCATACATTTACGTAAAATTTTCAATTTACTAGTGACATTTAAAAATAAAGCCTTAATTTGCCATTGCTATTTGCGCTTTAAAATTAAACGATATTTGTATATTTTATTATTTTTCCTAATATGATGTATAAATAAACCGGTTTTTATTGAAAAATTTTAAAAGTTCAATTTAATGCGGTTTTATTTGTAATTAAATAAACATATTTGGGAATCCCTGATTTTGGAAAAATACCGAACTATAAGTAAAATTAGCAACATATTTTGTTTTCATTTCAATAGATACAAACATATATCGATTCTTACTATACATATATTGAAAGATCTTAAATTAAATACATAAGTGAATATATGTGTATTTAATTTAAAAGAAACGAACGTGTAGAAAAGCTGTAATTACCTAAAAATGTTTCTAAAAATATAAGCTTTAATTATTATAATATCCATTTTTATCTTCAATTTTTTAATTAATAAACCACAATTAAGTTATTTACAGTGATATAACATACCATAAATAACTTCTATTGAAAAACAAAAAAAATGATTTTACTTACTTGTTAAATCGCCGTCTTCTGCAAACGAAATATATCCTTTGTTCATATCTTCTGAACGTCGTTTATCAACAGACGAATTTGTTATTGATGGAGAAGATAATATTTGAACTTTTGGAATAACAGGGTTTTGTTCTCCAGTTATATTATTATTATTATTATTATTATTATTATTATGATTACTGTTATTATTAATGTTACTGTTATTATTATTATTATTTTTGCCTTTATCAACAGTTATATTATTATTTTCTCCGTTATTTATATTATTGTTATTATTATTTGGTTTTGTGGTTACTAATATATTTGATATTTGTGATATTGGTTTAAATATTGATGCTGTAACTGATTGGGCACGAGATGCAACATTAAATTGAGCATTTGTATTTAATAATATTGCACTACGTTCATTTGGTTTAACTTGTGTAAATACAGATGCAGTAACTGATTTTGGCTTTTTAGGTTCCTTTTTGATGTTATCGTTATTATTACTGTTATTATTATTTACTGTTGGTGTTTTTTGATAACCACCTCCCCCACCAACAATAAATAATTTTTTATTATTAATAACTTTATTATTGTTATTATTGTTGTTCTTTTTTATATTGATATCATTTGATTCAATTGTTTTCAATTTTATATCTGTAGAAGATGAATATGAATCATTATTAATAACAATATCATTACCATCACCATCACAATTAATATCAACAGATGATGTTGATTTTATTGTGGATTCTGTCAAATCTTTTTGTTGCTGTTGTTGTCGTTGTTGATTTTGTTGTTTTGTAATAGTGAAATTCTTCAATGTTTGACGAAGTGGTGAAAGTGAATTTTCACGTATTAAATTATTTTTATTAATTATATTATTAATATTATTTTGATTTTGATTTGTAGTTTTAAATATTGAAGATGTTGGTGAATTGATTAATTTTATTGGAGCTTCCATATCATCCATAACTTGCACTTTGATTATTTTATTTTCACTCAAATTTTTAATATCATTTTTATTTTTAATATTATCATTAATTTCATCACTAACAATATTATTATTATTATTGCACATTCTCTTCTTTTGATCTTTATTATTAGCTTCAAATTGTTCATATGAGTATATTTCATTCTCATTTTCAAGTTGACTGTAATTTTTTATTTGATTTATTATAAACTCAAATATTTACGTTAAAAATGGGATATGAATATTTTGCAAAAATAATTTGCATTTTTTGCAAATTGAATTTGATTATTAATTTCGCAAAAAAAAAATCGTCGTAAGGTAATATTAATGGGTTCTTACTTACTTTAATCAAATAATCATTCTTTTCAATATTATTCATTCGAATAGCAAAATATTTAAATATTGAGAGAAAAAACACCAACAATTTGAAAATATTAAAAAAGTCTTCTTGAATTTCCAAATTTATTTTTTCTTTTTTGTTTATTTTTAAACATATTTTAATTGGAAACAAGTTATTTTCTAGTTGATAATTTCAACATGAAACTCATTTATATATTGTAGTATGCAAACCCTATTTATTTTTAAAAATTAAATTAAATAACAAATAATATTCCAATAAAATTCTTTAACAAACCTAAATTGATTTATATCAGCTCAAATGTTATAGTTTTAAAAATCATGTGATTCTTATACACAATTAAAAAAAAAATACATACCAAAATTTCCCTTTCAGACTCTCATTAAAATTTCTATACAAAAGTTTTTTTTTTGTTATTTTATTATTTTATTTTATTGTATATGATTGTAGGAAGATCTAAATTTGTATAAAAGTACTTAGGAACACTCGTACAAACATAGGCTAAAATTAAAATACAGACATTAAGTACGTATTTCTATTCAAAAATATTCACAAATTTATATACACAAATAATTTTGAAAGGCATTATACATAACTTGTATTATGAATTATAATTTTAAACTGTTTTTGTCTAAAATACAACTTCTAAACTCTTACTTTAATAGTAAGGCAATATTACCCATGTTTACACTTTTAGTAAATTCTATAATTTTAGAATGAAATATTTGCCTATACACATACATTGTACTTAATTCAACAGAATTTCTTTGAAAATTTTAAAAAACAAAATCAATATTTATATACAAACATACCAAAACTTTTGCAAAAGAATATGACAGAAATGACAAGTCATTAATATCTATCAATGAAAAAAAATAATTAATATTAATGATTAATATAACATATTTTTCTGCACATTCTTAATTATGTACATATACATATGTGTATATATGAGAATATAAAAAGTTAAATAAGATTTTCGTTTGATATTTTATAAAAAATACAATATCAATATGAATTTAAAAGTTTTAGAAAAATAAGAAACAAATTTTGGTTCAAAGCAGTTCAAGTAAATTTTGATGATAAGAAAAATTTCTTAGTCCAACAAAATTGATGAAAATTTTTCCTTTGATAATAAATGGAGTTGAACACTCTGAACTCTGTGATACCTGTTATAATTGTTTGTTTTTTTTTAGATAATAGGTAATATTTTGAAATTATGACAAAATATACCTACATATTATAGCAAATAGTGTAAATAATTTGATTTTCAAATAATATGATTAATAAATTTCAATTGGAAATGAAAGCATATTTAAACTGAATGCAAAAAAGTACTAAATAGTAGGTACTTTCAAAATACAGAGTTTTTTAAAAACTTTTACGTACAGAATGTATGTATATGATATTGACTTGATTGAGGTACCATCAGACTTAAATTAATTTTAATGACTCTATCAGATAGCAGTCAACAATGTGAATTTTATAGATTGAATAAAAATGGAAGTATTTATGAAAATTTAATGAATGCATTTTTATTGTATTTTATTGAAAATTATATAATCCCATAAATGTAATGTATGTATATGCCAATTTGTATATTCACGATACAAGTGAAAAAATTTTTCTTAATTTGTTTTCTTTTTTAATTTTTTTATATTTTATATTTTATTTTAAATTTTCTTTTCTTTTTTCATATTTTCTAAGGTAAGTTCAACAACTTCCTGTCTCTTTTCTTACTACATACATATTTAGTTTTTATACCCATCTCTATTAATTTATCTTAATACTAAATATTTAAATCAAATGCAAAAGTATAATATATAAAAATTAACCCATAAGTGCATTCTACTAACACAAATTTAGATAAATAAAAATTTTGACGCAAATCCCACTCTTTTTTTTCTTTTATTTTTTTGTTTTATAGCATAAACGCTCACGATTTAAATAATGTAAACATACAACTTAATTTGCAAATAATTCTCATTTTCTGTTATTACAATAAATCTACCTACATATATAATGTTTGATATTACATTCGCAAATGCCTGTGTATGTATAGAAATGCCTGTAATTATATAGTATATACAATATAGGTATAAATGAGTTCCATATTAATTAATATGCAAGCAGAGATAGATGCACAGCCATGAACGTAAATAAAATTCTTTTATATGAAAATATGTTATAAAATATGTACGTATATAAAATAATATTATACGAATTTTTATATATTTTTGAGGTTAGAAAAAAAAATTTTTTTTATACTTAAAACAAAAAATAAATATTATATTTTCGTAAATACAAAAAAAAAAGTATTACGTAAATCTTTTTTAAAATTTTAAAGCTTTTTGTAAGCTGCTTTTTCTCTCTTTTGTTTTATTAATATGTTTTTGCTATTTTTTACAACCGTACAAAAGATATACATATATATATATATATATACAATTATGCAGTATATACATATGTAAACATTTTTAAGAATTTATTCGGCAAGAATGATTTAATATTGAAATAGAAATGATTTTTTCACAAGATAAATTCGCAGTATATAGATACGTATAACAATTTATATTGTAAAAGTAGTATACAATAATATTCTTATACATATATTGTCTAAACGAATGCATGATAATTACTATTTGATATACTATATTTTAGTAATACGTATAACTAGTATACTAACTAGTACTTTTATATTATAACAAATTAGTAAAAGAAGAAAAAAAAATAATTTGATAATAATAGCACTTTATGAAGAGTGCCATTTTAAAAAGTTAATTATTGGTGCATATGTAATAAGCACACGACTACTTTTATTTTCGACTTCTGTTATTTCTTTGTGTAAACGATGAGTTTTTAAAATAAAAAGTAAATTTTTTTTTATTTTCTTAACTTAAATGTTAAATTTTATAATAAAAAAATTTTTTTTTGTATTAAATTAAATAATTATTTTGCTTTTTTAAATTTTAAATAAATATAATAAATTTAATAAATAAATATTATATGACAACAGATGTGCGTTTTTAATTAATTATTTTCATTACAAATTAACCAAAAAAAAACCCTTTGTTTTTAAAATATAAAATTTATATTTTTGGCAATATTGTTTTTTATAACTTTCGATCAAATATATAATAGTATATTCGTACATAGTGATATATGTATATAGATTTGTTTAATGTTTATATAAAACGTAGAAAAATATTGTGTAACATAAAAATATTTTTATATATAAACACAAGTATGTACGTAAATAATATATTTTCTTAAAAAATTATTAAATTCTTATTCATATTGTAAATAAATGTTTTATTTTTAATTTTTACGAAAGCAAAATATGATAAATATTTGACAAATATTTTATAACAAAGAAAAAGATATAAGAAAAGAAGAGGATGTGAGGGTAAAGGTACAAAATTTTCAAAATTAATTTTTTTTTTGTTTATATTTAACATAATAATATTTTGTTGAATATTCAACAAATATAGAACACAGAAACAAAAAATTTTTATAATAATTGTTACGAATTTCAAATTTAAAAAATAATTTAAACAAAAATTATGATTTTTTGACAGCACGACTCATATTTTTGTCCAGCATTTCTGTATCAGAGATTTTACATTTTGCTGTATAAATAATCCTCAAGCTTAAACCTTTTTAAACAGTTGAGTGTGTTAAAAAAAAAAAAAAAAAAGCTCAACTGAATTTAATATTAACAGAGTTGAATTGAACTTAGTTTGTTTGTAAGGTAGCACTTGTTCAAAGGGAAAGAACAAGTGAAAATACTGCTTTTAAAAACAATCTACTAAATTATTTAGATTACTTTTAATTATATTCCAAAATGTATCAATTTACTGCATATACTTAGGATGAGCAAAAAAAAAAACCGTAATTTAAAGAAGCGTTAACAGAATGGTTGAATTGTTCAGTTAAGTTAGCACAAAAGTACTAAAAAGTTTTTATATTTTTATTGGAAAAATTATTTAAGAAGGCAATTAAAAAATATTTCAAGAATATATTATTAAGTTTTCAGTTCATAAGAATAATTTTTACGACAACGTTTTAATTTTCAGATCTATACTAAAAACTAAGAATAGATCTATACTAAAAACTAATCGATTGATTAAACAGTGCCATAAAAACATTTATTTTTGAAATAAAATTAAAAATTATTATCTAAAACTGTGGAAGTTTCCAAATGGCAAAAGAAAATAACTAAAACCACTTTAATTTATAAAACCGAAATCGGAGTGAGTAATCACTAATTAACAACAGAATACAAAAAAAAAAATAAATGTTTTAAATAATAATTTATTTAATATCTTTAAAGATTAAATGTTTTACTATCATGTGATAAAAAAAAATTTAGTTTATGCAATTGAACTAACAAATATTACATTAATTTTAAAATACGTAAAAGTATAAAATAATTGAATTTTACTGAAATTGCTTTTACACCTTCATAACGAAATGAATTTTTTATTTCCATTACAGAAGATTCGTCACAGAAGATTTAATTTTCAAAATATATAATCAAATTTCATTTTTTTTCGTTCTTATTTTAATTTTATTACATACGTTATAATTTAACACGAGCCACTATAACACAAAGAACAATCAAATAAAGAATAAAGTTTTAAGCGGAACGCATCAAATATTGTAATGATTGTAATTTTATATCATTTTACAAAATAAAATTCGTTATATGAAAGTGATTGTAGCAAATATACGATTCATTTTCTACATAGCAAAAATTTTAATTAATTTGTCTATAATACATATGAGTATAATTTAAAAATAGTCGATCACACGAGCACAAC